ATGCATTTGAATGGGAAATGGGTCTAAAAAAAGGTACATTTAACTGTGGGATGTGTACACAGTGTTAATGGATTTGGGGAGAGAAAAAAATACCCCCCCCCTGGGGTGGTCACACAGGTTTAATTGATTTGGGGGAGGAAAAAAACCCCCCCCCCCCCCCCAATGGTCAATATCACAGATCACAACACTATGTGGATTGCGTAACAATGGGCATGATCTACATGATGAAATGTACTTACACTGCATTCTATACAGGAAAAACAAAAAGGCAATTTAGGAAAAAGATTATTGACCATATACATCTTATTAATTGTGGAAAACTATCCCACACTGATTAGCAGACATGATGTGGCTCGACTCACAATTTTAGTATGTTAGTATTGTCCTTTTAGTGCTCTATAGAATTCATGAAGACCCAAGAGGGGGTAATTTCAACAAGAAGATTTTACAGTGATGTACAGGTTAAAAGCAAATATACCCCCTGGACTGAATGAAGCAATAAGTTACAAGCCCTTCTTATAAAGCCATGCAGTAGATGTTAAATGTCAATTCGTAATGTTCAAATTACATTGGAGATTGTATTAATGGAATGAACCATAGATATTAGATACTGTATATGATAGAGGGCGAGTATATTGACAAACTTGCTGCAATTGTTGGACTATTGGTATAAAGCACAAAAAAACACAAATTATTGTCCATGTTTATGTTCCATCAGGTGTCTCTGTGGACCTTGGTTTTTGTTCTTATCTGTGGGGGATATATAGATGTTGGAAGAGAGGGAAGGTGATTAGGCAAAATTTGCCCTCTGTGGTATTGGAGTGGTAAGATGTGGCCCTATTTCATTTTTACCTTCCACGGTACACATACAAAGAGGATTACCCCCTCCCCCTGTAATATATGTGGTGGGCGGGCCTTGGAGAGGGTGGGTCCTGAGGGCAGTGGCTATGTCCCCCCTTACGCAGCCAACGCAGTAAGTTGTGTACTGTCTCTAGCGTCTCAAATGCCACTACACATGTACAATGGAGAAGGCAGGAGAAGTGAACAATCTAGGCCAAAATAGCTAAATTTGGAGAATTCTCCAATTCAGCTTACTTTCCAGTTTAGTTAGGTTGTCCTAGATTGTTTACTTCTGCTGCCTTCTCCAAACTCTTCACCCTTTAGTGAATAACCCTGTAAAAGTGGGTGTTTTTTCCTCATATCAGTTTTTTTCAATGATTTATAATGATGTACAATTGTAGATCCAAGAGAAATTTAACAATAACTGGAGTTCTCTAATAAGCCTCCCCTATCCACCACGATGGGAATTTAAGGCAGTCTTGGGGATACACAGAGAATGAGGCTGTGATTATAGAAACAGGCAGTTGAAATGAAATGTTTGAAATAGAAAAATGTGATATATGATGAGTTGCTGTTGATAGTATCCTAATCATGACTGTTGTAGTTTATTGTAGTAATATCCCTGGGGGGCTCTTGGAGATGCAAGTGCCACAAAAGCCTATGAAATGCATTGAGTAAGCCTCAGCTTCACTGATACAGAAGATGGACACCTATAAACAAGATACAGTTGTAATGTAATACAAGATAAAGGCATGATACCTAAACGTATCAGAGTGAGTTTAGTGTCTAATGTTAAATCTTAGGAAATTTACACAGGGGATTGTTAAATGTCTATAAATTATGTTAAATGTTTTTTTAACAGAATATGTAAAATAAACTTATTGTAATATTTTAAGACTGAGTGATGTGGTACCACTGAAGTCCAGCATGAAATGTCTGCAAAGTACAGTAGATATATTTGGATGTGGCACTTTAAAAAGCACAAAAGTAAAGCTATAACCATCTTTAAGTGTGCATGTACAGAAAAGTGTTTGACATTTTTAGGGAACACCAGACAAGTGACCTTTGTAATGGTTGACACAGGCAGCTCTAACTGTAAACAATCAAGAAGCATGCCCACAAGGACAGAAATAGTGTCCTTGAGTTTATCAGGATACAGGTCCTCTTCCAGGGCTGGATACAGAGAAGTACAACCCCTTCATCTTTCTCTTCAGAGAGTGCAAAAGCAGACAGAGGAAGGTTAAAAAAAAAAGAAGAAGTGGGCCTAAAAGGGGGCCAGCTTATATCCCCTGAGGTATGAGGACTCTACAATTTCCCCATGAATTCCACCATAACAATGGTAAAATCCCTCCTAAAAGAGGGTTCCCTGGAGGGTACTAAGGATGACGCTGAGTATGGGGTGGTGGTGGTAGAATGGGCATAGCATAGGGGCAGATACAGTGGCCACAGTAGAGATAGAACACTTCCCAAATCTATTAAACTGTGAGGCCCCAGCACCGGAGGGGAAGAGAACCAAGTACTCACAATAGAGGAAGAGGAGGTATGTCAGGTGAACGAAATGAGTACCTAGTGAGGGACAAGCCCTCACTTACCACCCAAAGAAGTGCAGCTGACTTTACAGTGCTGGTCACCTAAAAGGAGGACATCTACACACTCCTGCTGGACATACCAGGGCACTACATAGTAAAAAAATCCTATTTTCTGTTCATTGAAGGACACTGCAGAGAGCTTTAGAGCTTGAACATTGGGACATACCAAGGGGTGAGGGGGAAAAACTAAAAAAAATCCCTTAGACAGCGACAGCATACTGTCCCCATGTGAGATACCCTAAGAGAAACATGCAAAGGAAAAGGAAAAAAAACTGTGCAATACAGGACCCAGGCAACCAGAGAGATTGACAAAATAGATAGTGGTAGCAAACTCAGAGGTAAACAGGCAGTCCCTGGCACTCCTGGCATGTCCTCCAGGAGTCAGACCAGCACAAAGTAAACACACCCACCAGGGTAGTCTGAAGCAAAAGGTAAGCACTGGAAGCCCTCGCTCTAAAACTTACAGAGCAAAAAGGAGTAGGAAAGTGTAGAAAAGTTAGTACCCAAGATGCCAGCATAGCATCCACTGCTCGTCAGAGGACGTTTTAACCTGGAAACAACCTGGCCAGCTGAACAACCTAGGAGGCCAGAGATCCACATCCAGGGTCTCCCATCTGAGACATGCACCCCAGCAAACCTCCAGGAGCAGAACCATACCCCTGGAACCAGCCTAAGGTAGGCCGCCTGCCCATAAGCAACACCTGGGCAGAAAAGGTGAGCTAGGTTGAAACATGCCCTATTGCACAAGGATTGGAACCACCTAACCTCATGGTGAAACCACTAGTTCCTGAAATAAGGGACATCCAAGAAACCAAAAAAGGGTGCGCAAACTGTTAGGAAGTCTGGTGAAGTAGGAACCCCCAAAAGCCTTCAACCATGGATACAGGTCAGGTGAGAATATCCCAAGCACCTAGAGGCTGGGATGACATTGGTAGGCTGCTGATGAGTCAGAGAGCACCACAGCTGAATGCCGCTCAGGACAGGATAGAGCACAATGTGAATTGGAATAGACAGTGGGAGTGACCTCCAATCTCGAGGGAGAGATCACCTGAACACTGAAAAGGTCCCCCTGGTGACCTCAACACAGACATATAAAACAGTCAATAAGATCACACCTGGGTGGGCTCACAGAGAGCCACAGTGAGGGTAGCCCACTGTATCGGAGTACTTCTCAAATAGATATAAAGTCGTTATTTGCTAGAGAGGGGTTAACAACCCAACAATGTTCTTCCGTCTCATAAAAGGAAAGTAGGAAGCACTAGAGCCCTGAAAGTTTGTAAACTGTGCTATGTACCTTAGGAGCCTAACTGGAGACAACACAACACTGGTATTTGCTACAGGCAGATTTAGGAGAGCATATCAAGCTAACCATGCCCCAGAAGAGCGGAGAAGTGAAAAAGCAGTAAACCGCCATGCCCAAGTGAGGACAGACCAATACACTATCACATTCTGGATACTGATCTCACCCAGTGACCCCTGCAGGCGTGTTTGGGGGTCCAGCACCCAGTGCAGTATCCCAGGGGGATGAACCCTCAAAGTCCAGACATTCAATCTGACAGTGGCAGTAATTATGTCATGAGATGTGCCGCCAACAGGGCAGAATCCCACACCAACATGGCAGCCGTGGTTTTCGGCTGCAGAAGGCCGCAATCTCAAGTAAAGCAAGTAAGTCCAGTCAGGGGCCACCACTAGGCTGTGCTTTTGTGCCTAGTATCCTACTCCTCAAGGCGCTATAACCAATTGGTCAATATCTAAAGATTCCTGCTGTGTCCTGCAAATGAACAGAAGAGAAAAACCGATCTGGGTAGCTGCTGTTAAGTGCCATAGTGGTTGTGAGCAGTATTAAAACTTGAACAAATCTTTAGTAGAAAAAGCAGGAAATTATGTACTTCTCTCAGAGCATAACAAGTGTATTCTTCACTTTACGACACCAGGAAAAAACTGAGGCAGGCTGGGAGAGGGAGCGGTTATACAGGGCTGTAATACAGTTTTGATTGATTTGGCAGTGTACAATCACCTGAAGGTAGCTGCATAACCCATCTGTTCCAGAATTAACTCCCATGTCCTCTGATGCATGATCAAGCAACTCGAATTTTATTCTTTAATCAAGCTTGTATAACCAATCCCTTATCTTTTTAAGAAGTACAATCAAGAACTGTATTCAATAACATGAAGGATTTCCCCTACAATACCTTAAAAGGTTTTTAAAGGCCATTAGGTTTAACAAAAATCAACACAAATCATGCATTTTTAACTGCCATAAAAGCAGAACACTGAAAAATAATGCCATAAACAAAATTGATTTGCTCATAGTTACAGCATTCAGATCAGTTTCATCTAAAACAGAAGTCTGACATTGTGTTCCTTCAGGATTCCAGTGCAACACCAAATATTGTATGTATAAACAAGTGCTAGAACATAGTGGAATGCATGTGAAAACAGTGGGGCTGTTCCTATGTTAATAGTGTACAAAATCAATGTCCAATTGACCTTTGTTCAGTTCTAAAAGTGTTTTCAGTTTAAAAAGAAAAAACGAAAAAAATTGACTGGCAGTTAGCCACAACAATACAGAGCAAAAAGTCTCTGTCCATCTTCCAAAGTCCATTAAGTGCACATAAAATAAAATCATATCCTTGGCCAAAAACTCCAAGCAACTCCAGGCAGTAGCAGAGCTATGAGGATTGATGAGAACAGGTTCACTGTATTATTATCCAGTATGGGCTTCCCAGAAATTAATTTTGCCTCACTTGTTGGATGATTAACAATCTTGCCCGTGCTTTCATCATACCCTGCAATGATAGCAACAATTAAACATCAAATAACAAAGCAGGGATTTCAAAAATACATTTCTAAAAGATGTAGAAACTCACCTGAATACTGCATTATTGCTCCCAGGTAAGAGTCTAGCAGAGACCCAAGAAAACCAGCCATACCTCCATACAAAATAATCGGCCATTGAGGGGCTGCGATTTCTAAATCACTGACAAACAAAAGCTGAGTAACAAAATAAGCTAAGCCAACAAATAAGCCTCCTAAAAGACTTGCTGTGAGACCTATGAATGTAACACCTCCATTTGTACCTAAACAGAAACACAAATAAAACAGGATTGATTTAAATGTACAAAAACACAGCTCTATGATTTTCATGCAGTCAATTTACTCTTTGCTGATCTTACTACCATATGCCAGTTTAGGCCCTATTCTGTTGACACCTACACTCCAGTTCGATTAAAATATGTCATACCCACATTTTTGAAAGCAAGCAACACATATTTGTATTGTTTGCAAGAACTGGACGGAAATTTATACGTCTGTTTCCAAACTACAAAAATTAGTTTCGCCGATATGCTCAACATAGCACACGCAGATCTGCCACCAGTCGGTGTTTGGTCCCATTTATACACAAAAAAGGTAATACATGCAGATGTCATGAACATCAGCGGGATAAAAAAAGATGCAGTAGGTCCTAGCTTTGCATTAACAAGACAAGGACTCTTAAAATACCAACACCAGGGTTTACTGGTTAAAAATATGTTCATCTATTGGCACCATAACTAATGGAAACAAGACAGGAACAAGGGAAGCTACCGTTTAGGAGGAGTAAATAATTTTTCAGGGTGATCCCAGTCACCGTACAACACGGAGAGAGAAATCTAAAGCACAGGCCCACTTCTGGATTACACTGGCTGAACCCTTAACCCTTTCAATCACCAGTCAAAATTATATATTTTCTGAAAGCAGAGACCCTGAAGAATAAAATGGCGTCAGTTGCAATTTTTTTATGTCACACAATATTAGCGCACAGGTATACCAAACTCAAACCTTCAAAATAATTTTAGTGCAAATTCATTTTAGTGGGGTGTAGAAGTGATAGTCGCCTGAATCACTTCTATTGGAATGCCAACAGTCGGCTGAAGGAGTGTAGCTTACAGCTCTCTGGTGCCAGGGACGTGCTACTTCCGTCCATGGCAGCAAAACTATTAAAGCCGAACTCCAGGCTTTTAGCTAAATCACACCCTACCAACAATTATGCATTTTTATGATTTATTTATTTTTTACCTTTTGTACATGTTTTAAGACTCATCATGCAACCCACAGGGTTGTCTCCGCCAATGCTGGGCAGCTCTCAATGATGCCGACGGGGAGCTGATGTCATGCCAGCGCTATTCTGCATCATTACTTTGTGAGTGCAAGGTGCCATGGTGATGCCCCTCCAGGGAAGGGTCCATGACACCTTGCACTTACAATCTAGTTGTGAAAAGGAATTACTGTGGGGGACTCACCTCCACAAAAGCAGGTATTGTTTTTAAAACCTCCTGGGGTACCAGGAGTTGTGTTTTAAAACGGCAAAAAATGACAAACATTAGAAAAACAAGACTGAATAATTGGAACTGTAACAAATATATCAGAATTCCAAACACAGAAATTATGATGTAAGCAACATTTTTCTTACCCACTGGAACCTTTTCCCATGTTGTTATCAATCTAGGAGGACTTTTGCTAAGAACAGGAGCTATCTCTGAAGCCCATGTGTCTCCAGCTGAGCAGGCAAGAGCTCCCAGAAGTGACAGACACATCCATGAAGCTGTGTACTCCTTGGAAAAGTCAATTGGAATCTCACCAGGACCATTTTCCACCATGTAAAGCAGAGCTAACTCTGCTGGGACTCCACCATTACAGAATACCTGCACCCAGTTTCGCTGGCCTCCTAAAAGAAATTTTAGGAAATAAAATTCAAAAACACTTAGCTTTAAAAATGTAGTTATAGTATAATGTTCTTACTTTTAAAATGGCCATTTTATGTGTACACCCTTCATGGATGCCTTGAGAAAGCATATTTATACATGTGAAACAGACACTGGCCAAAGTTTTTTTTATCTTGTGGTATCTGGAGCTGTGATTGCCTTGGTTTTTCTTATCTACGATATTGATGGTATGTACATTTATTATGTGCACTGGGATTAAAGTGTTTGAGGCTGGGGTGGAGTAAGAGCCCTTGTAGTTTCCTTCATTAACACGTTTATATGAATGGTCACCCAGGTGACTCCCATAAGTGTGAGAGTGCCACATATTTAGAAAGTATAATTTTAAAAACCAAAAATGCTAGTTACATTTCACCGCCTAGTTACTTCTTCTCATCTATTGAGGGGCACAAGGAGTCTTAAACGTTTAGGATGTCCAAAAGCAGTCAAACACAGCAAACACTAATAAGCCCATGCAAAAAAACAACAGATCTTGGGACTGCCTGCAGCCCAAAGAGCTACCTAGAAGACTTTACAGCTGAAGTTGGCATTAGATGAGGCTGAAACGTCCACCTGATAGAACTTAGTGTATGAACAGAAGACCAGGTGGCAGCCTTGCAAATCTGACAAACAGTTGCCTAATGCCAAAAAGTCCAATAAGCACTCACAAATCTAGTAGAGTGTGCCTTGCCAAGAAAGAGTGGCACCTGATCCTTGAGACAATAGGCTTGGATGATGGCCTGTCTAAGATAGTGAAATGAGAAGCTGGTTCACTGTTTTCAGGGTCCGTCCAGGATGACTAAAAGGGAATGAGCCTTTTTGAAAGTAGCAGCGGCTGAGAGATGGACTTTAACAGCCCAAACCACATCCAGACAACGTAGGGAAATTTACTTCTGGTGAACTGAATGCAAGAACAATTGTTCTGGTTGAGGTAAAAGGCTACAAGAAACACCATCGTGTGGGAAAGAGTAGGGAGAACAATGGAGAGTAAGGGGCCTAATGGTGTTTTCTGAAGTGCAGCGAGAACTGATTCAAATCCTACAGAGAGTGACATGGGGGGGAGGGGAATGGACAGGGGGAGCTAAATGGGAGCTCTCTGTACAAAGGTCTTAGAGAATAAGAGGCCAGCAATCTTTGAAACAATAGAAATGCAGAAACCTGACTTTTGACGAGTCAAAACACTGGTACAGACCCAGAGGCAGATATAGAGCAGTTGGACCACAGATAAACTCTTGTGGTGGAAGTCCAGAGTCTCACACCAAGTAAAGTATGCCCTCCACTTGCAGAAAGTACTTCCTAGCTTTTAGAATCATAGGAATCACAGACTCAGATGAGAAGTCCCTCAGAACCTGGGCTTCAGCAGCCATGCCATTCAAGCCAGCAATCGTGAAGCAGGATAGCAAACCGGTACCTGGGACAAAACATTGTAAACAATCTGATCCCACAGAAGTCAGAAAGTCTTCCTGGTGAAGGAAGGCGAGGACCAACTTGGTGGACTCCATGTGGAATTTCTAGACCCGAATGAAGAGTTTCAGAGCTCTGAGATCCAAAATGTGGCAGATCCCACTTTGGGTTTAGGAAAAGTGAACAGGTTGGAGTAAAACCCCTGAAACCAATCTGTGGCAGGAACTAAGGCAATAACACTTGGATCCAGAGGACCCAAAAATGCTTAAATGAAGATCTGCTAATCTGTGCACTGACACATGAAGATTGGAGGTGCCAAACTAAAGAGGGGGCAGGGAGCCAAACTCCAGTTTATAGCCCTGGGAAATTACCTCCTGCACCTAAGAGTCTCAGATGCAAGCTGTCTGAATGTCAAAGGTTAATCAAATGTCCCCATCTCTGGAAAGTGCGGGTGTACCTTCATGTAGAGGAAGACTTGCCTCGGGATTTGGCAGAACAAGTGCCAGACCTTGCAGGTGGACTGGGAGCCAAGCTTCCATGGTCTTGACAAGGAGGTAGGCGTGGAGAAACAAAAAAAGATTTGTAATTGCTTTGTAACAATCAGACTGGGAGAAGACTGTGTCTTTTTCCTTAGGTTTCTTCTGCTAAGGAAGATGGGTGCTCTAGCCACAGGTTGCATAATTGATGTTATCAAGAGCTGGTCTGAAGAGGCATTCTCCCTTGAAGGCCATGCGGATCAGGCAGGTTTTTTTTTTTTTTCCACAAGTGTTTTGCAGTCCAGAACTGTTGCCAAAGTGCCTAATGCTTAAGTATTGACATGAGACACCTGCCGGAAAGAAGGTAAAAGGTGGCCATACACTCTACAACCATCGCAAGACTTTAGTCTTGCGATGGTTGTAAAGGGATTAAAAAAACGTACGATCTGCCTATCTTGGACAGGCAGATTGCACTCTCGATCATCGCAAGCCCGCCTCCCTGAGGGGCGGGCTTCCGATGACCGCAATGCTGAACGGGCAGTGTGCGCGTGCGCACACCGGCCCGTTCAGCATTTATCTTCCGAGCACCGTTCTAACCAGCCGAGAATCGTACGATTCCCGGCTGGTTTTCGAACATGCTGGTTCGACAGAAGACGTGCGACCGTACAGTAGAAACGGTCGCACGTCTCCGTCCACACTGCTCGATTATCGTACGAAAAACCGATCGCATACGATTATCGTATGATAATCGTGCAGTGTATGGGCACCTTTAGAGGCATCCAGCATACCATCACAGCTGATGTTTATTGCTGCAGCACACTGCTCCAGATGTTCAATAAGCAAGATATCAACTGTAGGAGTGGTTAGATATCTTTTAAGGGATTTTCACCAATCGGACATGGTTTGAGAAATTAAAGTCACAGCCAGGATCAGGTGAGGGGCAGATCAATGTTCTAAAAAGGGCTTCCAACTGCTGATTGGTAACAGATACACCTGTTCTCAAGCACCCAACCAGACTAGTAAATGTCTTGTTAATGTTGGACATGGCCGGATCGCCAATGGAGACGGACCACTTCTGTACAAAATCCTCAACAAATGGATACAAGACTAAGAAGAGCTAGGGGGAGAAAATATCTAATCACAATGCTTCGAATCAGCGTAAAGAAACAGTTGGAAAAGTAGGTGCAAAGGGGAAAGCCTTTGGGCCTTAAATGAACCATGGCTGGAGATTAGAGATGCACCAATACCATGTTTTCCTGGCAGAGTAGGAGTTCTGATAAGTTTCCTCAAGTACTCACAGATAACAATTATCAATGCTTTTTTTTAGTGTGATGTGACAGTTTTTCTAAAACAATAAAAGACTAATGATTTAGGACAATGGTTGAGTGCAAGGGCACGGTCGCAGCTGCAACCACTGTTACCCTGGCAGTTCTGACACTCACGCCAAGCTGTAGAGGGACTACAAGTCCCACCGATACATTATACAGCAAAGCAGAATACCACCAGCTATAGTGGACTACAAATCTCATAATACATTATACAGCATTGCAGAATGGTACTGGCTATAGAAGACTACAAATCCCAGAAATACATTATACATCAATGCAGAATACCAGAAGCTACAGAGGACTATACATTTCAGCAATACATTATATAGCAATGCAGAATATGAAGCTACATGGGCTGTGTGGGGTCTCAGGGGGCTGTGTGGGGTCTCAGCAGGGGTTTGGATGGTCTTGTGGGCGGGTGCAGGTGGCATGGTTCAACAGGAAGAGTGAGGAGGAGATGTGCGGCCGGCGTTGGCAGAGCCAGCTATGCCCATCTCTCCCCTGTCTCTTCCTCCAGTTAGCGCTGGAGGATCAGAGAGGGGAATCCCTGCAGGAAGCAGTAACTGGCAGTCACCACTCTCTGCAGGGAGATGATCGGGAAGCAAGTGGATCGGTGGTATGTTTTCGCTCACTTCCCGATCAATAGAACCGATGCGTGACCGTTTCAATGTTACACGACGGCTCTATCTATGGGAATGAGTAATTCACTCACGCCATAGTTCTTTATGGGAAGGGGGTTTAACACCGCGGATGTCAACTGGTTAAAAGAAAAAACGACAAAGTTCTCTTACAATTAAATTTTTTTGTTTTATGTATTTATGCAATTAGTTTTAAATTCTTTACCTTCCTTGTATTCAGAATCGTATCGCTTCTTCAGTTCTCCTCTCCATTTAGTGAGTTTGGAGGAAGTAAAAAAAAATGTAAGAAGAGCTGAGAAAAAGCTGTAGTTTGCAATAGTGAGGATAAATCCAACCAGCAGCCCTGCAAGATCAACAAATATTACTAAATGGTTAATTCTTCTATGGAACTGGACACAATAGAAAAAAAAACAAAAAAATGATTTTAGAAATAGGATTTTTGTTCTCACTGTAACTTTCTTGCAGTAAATTGAGGAAGACAGGAAGTCATTCACCTTTGGCTTACACTACTGCCTACAGGGAGGACTAGACAGTGGCAATCTAAAATGTAGGCCAGCCCAGAATAACCCCTCCTACTACCAGCGTGCCTCTGTTTTCTAGCAAGCAGTAGTGACAGCATTATTATAAACACGGAAGGATTGGACCCATGTCTCTCAATGGACTGGAATGGAAAATAATTTTATGGCAAAAACAAAATTGACAATTGAGGGATACAGAAAGTTTTTTACTTTTGGGATGTCCAAAAGCAGACCAACTGAGGGCTGGGCAATAATAGCAAACAGGTGTTAACAGACTCAAGAAAAACCAACAGAACTGGGGACTGTCTCAACCTCAAAGAGTGCCAGAAAGACCTTACACTCAAAGCTGGACTCTAATGAGGACTTAAAATCCTAAAAAGGTAGAACTCAGGGGACCAAGTGGCAGCCAAGCAAATCTGGAAAACAGCTGCTCGATGCTGAAAAGCCCATGAGGCTCTCACAGATCTAGTAGGGTGCACACCTTGACAGAAAAGAGTGGACTGGGCCCACTACAGATGGTGGAACGAGATGCCGGCATACCCTTATGGGGACTATCCAGGATAAGAAAAAAGGGAAATCAGTCTTTTTGAAAGAAGCAGCGGCTGATAGACTCTCACAGCCCAAACAATGAAGGGAAAATTTGCTTTTGGTGAATTGGAGTCAGATAGAGAGATGAAAGACATGTCCTGATTGAGGTGAAAGGCTGAAACTATCTTGGGGAAGAAGGAAGTCCTAATCCTCAACACCACCTATCCCTTCGGAAAACCAGATAGGAAGGTCTCTAATGGGTTCAAACCAGATTCAGATTCCCAGGAGTCACAGGGAAACAAACAAGGGGAGATGGAGATCCATTACTTGTACTTGGGCCTGAAAAAGTGGCATCGGGACATCCCTACATGGGACCATCCCTGTACAAAGGTTTCAAGCAAAGAATGAGAAGCCACAGTCTCTAACAAGACAGAAAAGAGCAAAACTGACTTTTGAGAGCCAAACACTAGTCCAGACCCAGATGAAGGAAGGAGAGGATTAGTCCCACGTACAATCTCCTAGGGTGGAAGCCCCAAAAATCCCATGAGGTGAAGTATGGCTTCCATGTCTGATGATAGACCTGCAAAAAGTAGACTTCCCAACTTATTTTATGAAGTCCTCTTCAAACTGATACAATGCTAAAAACAGCAGGGTGTTTTGAATATCCATAGATGAAGACTTTTCAATAGCAGGTGTGCAAGGAAGTAATTTGCAGTCTTAGGGGCTCTAAATGACCCAAGTCTAGAGATAGCACAGGTAGAGACAAAAGGTTGATTCTCTAGTTTTATAGTGGTGCTCACCACAATAATAACAGATAAAACAGTCTCTTAATCAAGGAGTAATGACAGAAGCCCATGACTCCTCAGAGTCTGGCAAGGGCAGGAGTGATTCAAAATCAAAGAGTGTCAGTGGCCGATGCGTCAGAGGCCACCAGCAAATGAGATACACAATCTGTAGAGGAAGGCACAGGAACGAGACTGTGGCCTCTGCAGTCAGTCAGTAAATATTTAGATGATTTGGGCCATAAAGCATGACTGTAATAAAAACCTCAGAAGAAAGGGAAGAGGAGTCAAGTCACACCCAACTGAGCCGGGGAAGACTCTGAAGATGGGACTCTAGAATCAGAGGGCAACATGACTGCAGGCTGCAAACATCGGTCATATTAGTGGGTGCACTGCAAGCAGCACTGGAGTAGTTAATAGATTGCAAGCTGGGGACATCTATTGCAGTCTTGACTGAACAAAAAAAAATAAAATACAAATTGTACTAGCAAAAACAGGTTAGTCTTTTACACAGCAGAGCTGAAGAAATAGTGTCACATCTCTCTTAAGGGAGAACTATGAGGTGAGTGCTTTTCACTCACCTCATAGTTCTAGCCGACCTGTGACAATGAGACTGTCACAGGACTCAAACATGAAATATGAAAAGGGCAGCAAATGTATTTCCATGTGTTTATTTAATCAGTACATGGCAATCACATTACGAATGGTAAAAACAGAAGAATACTACATCTAAGGTTCCTGGCACAAAGGCAACAGATATGCATACTACGCACTCCTATACATGATGTGCTGTGTGCTGAAATATAAACGTGCATTACACCCAGCAATTTCCACTGACCTAAAAGCAGGGATATGCGTGTGCTTTCAGCAAAAAATTCACAAATGTAGGTAGGAATGTGGAAAATTTAGCCTTTATCTTTTTTCTATAATTAAAAACAGTTGTATGGCATATTACAAACGTGATATTACTTGCTGGCTGTAATGTGAAAATTTTAAATAGGGAGGGGTTAAAAACCCCTATTAAGCAATTTTTTTTTTTTTTCTGCCTGTATCCAGCTTGGGAGAATTCTCATAATTTCTTTTCTTGAGATGCAACATTTTCTCTTGGTTTTGGCACTGCAACATACTCAAAATGAATGCTATACTGTATCTTTTACAAACACTGCCAATTGGGACTCCAACAATTTTTCCGCAACATTCAGTCAGCTTTCATAAAATGTATGTGGCGGGGTAGACCATGAGAATTGGAAGAGAAGTCCTGCTACGCCTGAAGAGGAGAGGGGGCATTGACCTGGCACTCTATTATATGGCTGTATATATGGCTAGGACCGCTGACTGGTGTAAGCATAAGGCACAAACTTTGGGTTCCCTTTGGAAGGGGCTATTTGGGCTGGACCGGATGCCCTTACTTGCTTTAAACAAGTATCCCTTAATCAGCCCTATGATTGCAGAGCTGCATGGGTACTTTGCCTTACATAGCGTGCAAAGTCATCCCTCACCAATGATACCAATTTTGAGTCACCTGGACTTTGAACCAGACTTCCCATGGTTTTTCACTTGTCTTAAATAAAGTTGCCTCAGTCTAGTGTCTAATTCCTCCTGTAGCCTATTATCTCTAAAAAACAAATTTTACAGGAAATACAAAAATAATTTCTGTTGTGTGTGTTTTTAATGCATCAAATCTCTGAGGATCTATTTACTATGGACTTCAGTAGTCTGGGTCTCCGCTAAGTGTGTCCAATACATTTCACATGACAAGCAAATGACTGCATCATCAAAACAAATAAGAAAAAGCAGTTTGATAAAACCATACACTACAATTACAAACTCATCCGCAAGCAAATTGATTTGGCTTGGGAAAGTCATCATTTCAAAATAAGATCTCCACTTAAAAAACTAATATAACACATATTGTACAGAGAGGGGCATCTTAACGCACCTTCTTAAAACTAGTACTACATTTGGGCTGTTATCCCAAGCCAGGGCTTCTCTCTTCCCATTTTCAATTCAAAGCTGCAGCAAGGCTACTATAACTCTGCAGATTAATATGCAGCCTCCTTCATCAGCCCCAGTGCAAAAACATACATGCATCCACAATCAAACGGTCAACACAATAACATATAGTCATGTATGCCTTTCATCCTCTAGCCTAGTTCTATTTTAGCTACCCCTGTGAATATGGGGAGAGATGAGAGAGGAGAGATGGCATGCCCCCCCCCTATATAATGTGAACACACCAGCTTTGAAGCATATGACAGCAGTGTGCAGAAGAAAAGTGCTAGGGAATTATGGCAGCCAGTATGTGCAAGAGCTGAGTGAGGACCGTATAAGAGCAGGCAGTTTAACCCCTTCATGACTGAGCTAGTTTTTAGTTTCTGTTCCTCAATGACTGACACTTTTTACATTTTTGCTGTGTGATTCTTCCACAGCAGCAAGTTTTGATTATTATTTTTAGAATTTTTTTAATAATAATTATAGTATACAAATATATGTATATATATAAAAGTTTTATTTTCCTAATTTTTTGTACACTTTTTTTTTTTTACACTTTGTAAAAAAAAGTGTAAAAAAAAAAAATTTTTTTTTTTTGTCAGTTTAAATCAAGCAATCACTATGACTGCTTAATAAATTAACTTTTTTTATTTTTTGTTATTATCAGGCTGCTCCAAGCTTAGGTACAGCTAATAATAACTTGAGACTGATCCTGACAGCATGTCAGAATCAGATCTCACTAAAGGTCTTTGATCGTTTCTAGACGATCAAAACTGATACATTTCCCTCAAGAGATACATTTGTATCTAGTGGTTGAAATGTATCATTTAACATAGGGCCAGGCTCTCAAGCTGTCAAAACGAATAACAGAGAGGTGAGTCACTGCTACCTCTCTGCTATCTTCAGCTGTCAGATACGGGATCGCTATTTAGCGAACCCGTATCTGAATGTAAAGGCTTAATTCTTTCATTAATGAAAGAAAGAAGCTTTTAAAAAAGCTTAACTATTTCATTAATGAATGTCTCAATAGTGAGGCATTAATTAATGACTGGAACTGCTGAGAATCAGCAGTTACCAGCATTACAGAGGCTAATATAACTCGGCACGTACAGTGTACGTGGCCAGTCATATAGCCACTTTGTGACGGGACGTACACTGTACGTCTCACGTCACGAAGGGGTTAAGCAAATGAAGACTGCCAAAGGGTATGATGGTGGGCAGTGTGTGCAAGAGAGGTGTGCCGATGGCATAAGGTCAGGCAGCATGAGCAAGTGAGGAGTGCTGAGGGTATGTTGGTGAGCAGTATGTGAAAGAGAGGCGTGCAGATGGCATAAGGTCAGACAGCATGAGCAAGAGAGGCGTGCTGAGGGTATGATGGTGGGCAGTATGTGCAAGAGAGGCGTGCAGAGGGCATAAGGTCAGGCAGCATGAGCAAGAGAGGTGTGCTAAGGGTATGTTTGTGGGCAGTATGTGCAGGAGAGAAGTGCAGAAGGTATTAGAGTGGATAGTGTGAGCAAGAGAGGACTGGGGAGGCCATAACAGCAAGCTGTGTAAGAGTATTAAAGCCTACATGGTTGTGTTTAGTGGACAGTAGTGATTGGAAACACAGCACAAGTGTCTATATTCCCAGCCACTTTTCTTTTATTAGCTATAGGATAATTCCATCCAAAGACTGTTTTACAGGATGACTTTAGATTATTAAAGAGAAGCCAAAATGCTTGGAAGGACGCCACTATTTTCAGTCTTCATATACGTTAATCAGGAAAAGCAAAATTATAGCAAACTATCACGTGCGGGTGTTTTGTCTCTGATTATAATTACTTTTCTTGACTGCATTATGGTACAAGAACTGCAAAAAAAAAAATGTATTCCTGTAAAATCCACACAATGAATCAAATAACAGAACATACCTCCAAGGGCCCCACTACTATCCAAGCTCTTCTTTTTTAGGCCACGTGACACAATAATAATTGGCATAATCACAGAAACCAGCCAACGCCATGGCGATATTGGTCGCAGTGTACCTGATAAAACAGAAGGAAAAAAAAAAGGATTAAAAGGAAATTACTACTTACTATGAAAAGGAAATATATACTTCCACCAAGTAAATATGGGATACATTTAGTAGCTCAATAATCCAGTTAAAATGATGTAATTAATTGCTGAAAAGTAGCAATAAATGGCCAAGCAATGGAACAAATTGCTTTTTTTGTAAGTTACACAGTGGTATTAAACAGATTAATCAATCACGAGACAAAAGAAGGGAGTAAGGTGGGAAAAGATTCTATTGGTGTGTCACACAGAACATTGCTATCAAGTGAACGTTTGTTTACTTTCCATAAAATCTGATGAAGAATCCACTAGGCAGCCAGCGAAAATGTTACTGTCCCTTCTGGATTATCCAACACACACCAAAATCCTCAGCGCATATCAATGTTTTGGGTGACACCAGTGCCCCAGTACAGCTAAACACTAACATTAAGTTCAGTTTAATCAGCAAGGGAAGCAAAGGGAATCAAAATGAGCAAAACTGACTTGTTTAGAGATCACCCAGTGCTCTGCTGTGAAGGCAGTTTGGACCAGAGTGCTAAAGTCAGCACAGCATTCATTTAGAGTGAATGAAAACTCTGGTAAAGTCAGAGACCACAATTTATAGCTTCTGGGATATTGTGGGCTATTCTTATTACAGTGAGTAGTCATTTTATAAACCTTACCTACCACTCTAAGTTGAAACTATGCTGCAAAGCAATATTGACCATGGAAACATTGTACTTGTCATATAAAATGATCTACAGGAGATATGAGGGGAATGCAGTATGATATCTACAATGCTGTGCGTTTCCTTTAGACAATACACCCCCTGAATAAATATGCTCACCGTAATAGGTACTCGCAGTTATAGATATTATCCAGAAAGACAAAGATATGCACAATATCATCGACAGAATGACAATGTTCATCATCATGTTTACATATTCTTTGTAGACGTCGTCCTGGATATAGAGCATAAGGGCAGATCAGCAAATCACCTAAAATATAACCACAAGACACCGTTAACATGGACTTAGAAATACTGAATCACATACGATACAGCCATTATATTTTAACAGCATATTTATCTATTAGTGAGCCTTCGGATTCTCCTTATGACTTATCTTAGGCAACACTCACACAACAACCACATTAACGTCTCTCACAAGGCTTTTTAAAAAGGCAGGCCTTTAAAAAGTGATGAATGGCTAATCATATTACTCACCTCACAGTCCCCAATAAAAGGTGTTGATTTGGCAGCAGCAGATCCAAACAGCACGAAAAGGGTCTACCAGCTTTCTTTTACAGAAGAAGTATTTGAATTTTTAGATTGGGACTCTGCAATACGTAGAACAGATTGTGTGCTGTAGAATGGTTTTGTAATGGGAGTAATAAGCAAGTAATGCAGAGAAGCGCATAAAATTCAGGCATCAGAAGAATGTTAGGAGTTTGAAAGACCTTTTTATTTTCATGCCTGGTCTTTTTTTTTTTTTATTCATAATGTACTGTGTACTTAAGGTCTGCTTTAAAGGGTTCAGCTTTTCACAAAAAAATTAATCAACTCAAAACACACTACTCACAACCCAGATCCGCACTGAAATTATGTGCAATGATGACCATCACCCACCGCCAATGCCAGCCCGAATAATGGTCCTGGAATTGAAAACTTGGAGCCTGCATAGCAACATAACCCTGGAGCCTGCATAGCAACATAATGTTTGCATTGGTCAGAGCGGCCACATGACCACACTAACCAATCGGAATCCCTTTTTCCTTCTAGGGTGCAATCCAGGAAGAAAGAAGGTTGAGAAAAAGATTTTCATTGGTCAGTACAGTCACGTGGCTGCACCAACCAAAACCTGCTCCCCTATAGCAAGACTGACTTTAGATAAGTGTCTGACAAATTAAAGCCCAACTTTCAGCAAAAAATTTTTTGCAGTTACAGCAACAGTTTCTTTTTCTTTTTCAGATAAAGCTTTAAATGGAAAGTTCACTTTTTTTAAATATTAAGTGCACACTTTATAAAATAAAAATACATGTGCATTTTAATTTTTTTTGCATAGAAGCCAGTAAAGCATTGCAACTGCGATCGGTAGATTGTGGGTGCAATGCTCTAGCTCCTGCAGACCGTTCCTTCTGTCCATGACCATACCAAAGTACAGGCATGCATTAACATGGACAGGAGGCAGAATGGGGCTAAGTTCACACCTGCACTACACAGCACGACACCCGGGCAGCCCGTCCCAGGGCCACGCGATTGTGTGCTAGTGCACACAGCGATTGTCGCGGGGCCCCATTGATTGAGGGAGAAGTACCTTTTTGTGTGACACACGACGCATGGCTAACCGTGTTCACTTGCACGGGCGGACTCGTGGCAGGAAACGCGATCCACCTGGTGCAACTGGGGTGCCATTATTTATTATATCACACCTTGGCGACTCCTGACCGTGCGGTAATCGTGCACAAAACCAAGCGGATAGCCGCGTTGTCAGGAGTCGCCTAGGTGTGAACCTAGCCTTAATGAATTAGAGGTGCAATGACATCACCCCACTTGTATTCCACTGAAACTACAAGCCCCTCTGCCATGATGGCAGACAGGACGTGTAGCTTCTCCTTTCTGTGGATGGATGATGTGGCTGTGTGGGCAGAGAAACACACAGCAGTGCAAAAATAAAAAAAACACAGCAGCCTGCGGGTGAAGAACTTCGCGATTCAGGTAAGTGGGGGATTCCAATGTGACCAGGTTTGATGTTACACCTTAAATATGGTTGTAACAAGAAACATGGTCAGAAAGATGAACTTGGCCTTTAAAATAGGTGCTTTTTAACAGAAGGTGAAAGTCCCACTCTTTGAGTTGTGCCTGTGCATTACAGCATCCTAGACTTTTATAGAGCAGTGTCCAAAAGCCGGAGGGGACACAGCACCATAGACATCTTCCTGGCTTTTGGTGAAAGTAACTTTGTAAAACCTATGACTTCATAGGACCGAGAAAGCACCACTATGCTCATGGAACCAGAGGAAGTATCTCACATCATTGTGCCATGCCAAAGAAACAAACTACAATTACCACTATGCATTTGAAATTGTAGTTCTCAAAAGGACCGAATGTGAAAAGGATTGTGGATGGGTTTGTAAAAATAGGCAATTACAGAAGTAAATGGCAGGAATAAATGTGGGTGGGAATGGGGGCAGGTTTGTGCAGAGTGGCACCTGCAGGAGTGATTGCCCATGTTAGTAGGCCAAACAGGCTGGGAGTCTGAGAACCCAGTTCTCCCAGTACAGACGGCAGTGACATTTACATCATCACTGGTAAAGAAAAGACTACAGCGGGGATGTCACAAGAACTATGGCTGGGGAAGGAGAGAGCATAGCAACCACCAGTTTTTTAAAGAGAAAAATGAGGGATACTGAGCCCATGCAGAATCAGAACAGTGATTTTTACAGTGGCTGCAGCATTGAGTTACAAAAGGAGACAGTATAAGACAGGTAAGCAATGTCATTTATATAGATCCTTAAACATTTCTGTCTGGATTTCAGCTATAAGGGCTTGTTCACACCACTTACAGTGCGTTCCAGTGCGGTTAGCTGCTGAAACGCACTGTATTGCATACTAAACTCCGCCCTGCTTTCTAGGGTAGGAGGAGCATTGAAATCAATGGCCCCGCAGCCACGCCCCCAGTGGCACATCAATGCCTGCGTTCTGGGCCAGTGCAATAACAAAAATAAATCTGTGGCTAGAGAAACAATATAAAGAGCTGAAACTGAACAGGGGATCCATAAGGAAAGTAAGGGTATATTCCAGTTTAAATAAGCTTAATACATATCAAGTACATAAAAAACTAAAAGGTATGCAAAGTTTTAGAGCTTGTTTTCTTTAGTTAGCAGCCACATGCGGAATGGAAAACCCAATCCCCAGCAAGGGTACTGCACAGTTCTCTGTGTGGAAGCAGGGGTCTCTCTGAAAAGCTCTGACACACTCCCTGCAGAGTCAGTCCTATGGCTGAGCTATAAGCAAAGCTCATGCTCTTTGATGTTTGATAAGCTCAGGTCAAGGTCACTTACCTTCCTCATGAAAAAAACAACCCAGACATTTCTTGTTTTTCACTTTGTTTCATGGATTATAAAATGGATTCCAGCGCTGATTGCGATTGACATTTTGCCTGAAGAAGGAACCCTGCGTGGTTCCAACACATTGCATTTTTCCCATTATGCTCCAAGACCCTTAATAAAGATGACAAGCTGAATGGTTTGTGGGCAACATATTTCACAGTATATGTCACGTGACATGTCACCTGACCCAGGGATCAATTTAAACTTCAGAGGGACTGGCTACAGAACTGAGTCAATCCCCACAGGGAAGTCAAGCTCTGTGTCAGCCTGCTACCATTACAGATTTGTCACCATGCTACCAGTGCCAGTCAGCCTGCTGCCAGTAAACATCTACTACTGGTACAGTCCTGTTACCAGTACCGTCAGCTTTTAGCACAGCCTACCACCCAGGGTGTGACAGCTTTGTAAAAAAACAAAACACAACCTTGTATATCTTTTGTTTTGATGCACTTGGAATGTATTTAGCCAATTTCAAACTAAAGTTTTCATTGGGCTAGAAAATACAGGAAACTGCATTCTAGGCAGGCAAGAAGACTGTGAACCCCCCAAAAATATTCTTACCTCTTTGCTTTATTGTATGACTAACAAATTTTGCTTTACAGGTTTAAAAATCTTAAAAATAAATACAAATAATAATGACATTCATGCAGTGCATGGCCAGTTTAACTTGAGAACATATTAAACCACCTCTAAAACTACCACACTATTCTTAACTGAACACAATGTCCACTATTTGGCCCTTTTCTAGTCATATCAATGTGCCCTCTGCTTTATTATATTGAAAATGTGAAAAATAAAAAATAAAAATCCTGGGAGAAGGAGAGTATATATTTATAACCACACTTTTAGATTGTAAGCCCTCAGGGGCAGGGCCCTCCTTACCATTTTGTCTTGAATTGTATTGTGATTGTAATGTCTTCCTTATATTGTAAAGCGCTGCGCAAAACTATTGGCGCTATATAATAATAATTTTAACAGTACGGCGAGCTTAGTCACATGACTAAATTCACCTTCTTATATGCAGTGTTTTAGTCAGAGAATACTCTGTAGGACTCCGCAGGATTCACACTGCGCCCTGCATTTTATGAACTCAGAAGAGCCATAAACATTGCATTGTCCTTCACATACAGGTTCTGTTTAAAATAGGATCCTATGGCTTGTTTATTCCATAGTGCCCCAAAAGTGTTTTTTTTTTTGCAATAGAAGGCATTCCTGGAGCTTTAAATAATTATATGCAACTGCTCGACAACACAAAGCTGATGGCTTTGTGACAAAAGAGATGTGCACCGATCTAGAGCAATACGAGCACTGTTTTGTATTTGTGTAAATCTATTATGGCACAAAGCCGTCGGCAAGACCTACTGTATATATGCGATATACCTCCGTGCCTACGTTCTAGAAATCAGTTGTTCCAAAAGCCCCTCACTGAACGGTTCTTCCTCTAGACCAAGTGCAGGTTAGTGTTGGCAGCAACCGTTTGGAGGAAGAAGTGCTCTGTGCTGGACTTTACAGTTGCTGTTGAGAAAACAAGAAGCTTAAGTATGATTAAGGCATCTGTCAACCCACCCCCAACACACTTCCTCTTCACATTACCTGAATTCCTCTTTCAAAATAGTGATCAGGATTTATATAGCGCCAACAGTTTGTGCAGTGCTTTAGAATATAAGGAAGACATTACAATACAAACCAAGACATGATGGTAAGGAGGGAAATGCCTGTCAGAGCTTACAATCTAAAAGGGAGGGGCAAGTGATACATGAGGAAGTAGCTGTGTGGGGATAAATTGTTTGAGAAGGTGATAGTTCAGTGGGTAGTTTGAGGCGGGATAGGCTTCCCTGAAGAGGTGAGTTTTTAGGGATCGCCTAAAAGCAGAGTAGGGGACAGGCGAACAGGTTGGGA